GGTCCTGCTTGTATAGATATACATTCGATAGATATGAGTGGTGAAGCATGCTCATAGTGAGTGATCTTATTGAAGTTTCTGTATACAAATTAATTTTCATACCTTTAAAAAGTTCTCTTTCCACCTCAAACAAAACAGTCATGAAACAAGTGATTTCTCTGCTTAGAATATGAGGATGTGACAAGTAAATCACAGACTTTAATAGAACAAAAAAACAACAAAACAAAAACACACTTATGGGAGGATATTAATGAGTCGTTGTGATATTTCCCTATTCGTTGCCAAGGGATTTCTGTAGAGTGAATTGTACTATGAAAGAATATCCATATGATTTCAGTTAACTGCATATGACAGATGCCAACTACTGTCTCTTATGAAGTGGGCAATTATGTTCTTAATTAAATGCTCAAAAAAAAATTATAGTTGGATAGAGTATTTCACTATTTTTAACAAATGAAAAAGTTAGACTTCAGTGTGATGGGATCCACAAAACCCTTCCTTTCTCAGCCCTATAATACAGTAAAACTACAAATAATTGGCCCTGTTGCAAACCCACTCTTCACAAATGCTTCCGTTGGACAGGTTTCTTTCTCCCAGACATTTCTGCTGGGAATACTGACTGTCCCCTGAGATTTGGGGAAGTCCAAAACCCAGAGGTAAAGTTTCTGTATCTCTAGGAGAGACCGTCAACGCTTTCGACAGCCTCACCTTATGAGGGGAAAGTAGCTTATAAAGTGTTACTCTTCCCAGAAAGCCCTACTATGCCCAGCAGCTTTGGGTAAACACTTTTAACTCAAGAAAGAGGGGAGCCTCAACCCATCCACATACTAAAATGCTCCAATTCCAAGTCCAAAATGGAATGAGCAACCCTCTTAACCATGAACTGCCACTGTGGACCCACTTAATTTCTCAGTGGTTGTTTCCTTCAGCCCACAGATTTGTTTTGCAGTCCAATTACTGAAATGGATTAGCATAGCCATGGAGACCTGCATTCTCAATCTTAAAAGGTTAGATATCTCATTACTGCCACTGTTGACGTCACTAGGCATAGCTACCAGGTAACTCGGGGAAGTGGAAGGCCATAAGTGCCAATGAAACTCCCCTGCTCTGGGTCTAAGTGAGCCACAGTAACTCCATCTTGTAAACTTTTACCAGCCTCCATGGTAGCAGCCTAATGCTGAAACAGAATATGTAATGGTCAGCTTTTTTAGCAGACAGCTGCAGTTTCGCTCACACACTAGCAGAAGCAGTAGTGATAACGAGGGGGAAAAGTGGGAGGGAGAAGCCTGCTACGTCTTAGCTTGCAAGGTCGAAGATAAGCATGCGAATGGGAAATTTTCTAACAAGCCACAATGTGTACCTGCTGTAACTGCTTGGGACGGGAGGGGTAGGTAGAAACCAGAACAAAAGGCTTACTCAAAACAGCTTGAAATATAAAAAGGGAAAACTTGCTTGTATTTGCTGCGCTTCTGATTTGAGACATGCTGGTCTCCTGAGTGCCTTTTCGAGATCTCGAATAAATTTGGTTTGCTTCTCCACCCTGGTGTGTCTATTGGTGCGGCACACACCGGGCAACTAACACTGTTGCCCCCTCAGGGCCAGCAACGCCACTAAGTGTAATTAAATACATGACAGCAGGGTTAAACCAAGTTCTGTAGAGTTCAGAGATAACAGTATGAAAAGACTGCATGGTCCTGAAAGCAACTATGCAGAAGATTGTGTATCTAAAAGTTAAGGTAACAAAGCAATATGCAAGTTATCTAGGCCATTTGAAGGAAGATAGGCGAAATAGGGTAGCTGGGTAACCTTTTGGTAAGACAGAATCTCCTTCCTCATCCCCTTTTTTGAGTCACCTAAGGATTCCCCTCATTTTTGTCTCTAACAATGCCACTCTTCAACCTCATCATTGCAGCCAACTTGCTTTCCATCAAGGTAAATTGGAAAGTATATGTAATCATCATTGATCTTAAACATCTACAAGAATTATAATTAAGTGATTACAGCTATCCCTTCCCACCTCCTAAAATCTTTAACAGCCTTCATTTCTAACCCAAACATAGGCTAAGAAAAACCCCATATTTCAATAAGGAGGTCACCACCAAAACACGGATATGAGAAAGGAACAGGAAAGTAATAGTAAATGACAAATTGGTATTTTATAGGCTTATAGTCTCTATAATCCTCAAGCTGTAACAATGTTCCACAATTCCACTGACATGTTATAAATTTACCACTGTTTTGAAAACAGAATTAGCAGCCCTAAATCTTTCACTACCAGAGAAAATCTTATGTGAATGATCTATCAGCATTTTATTTTGCCTCCGACCCTAAAATGTTAATCAAGAATATGCATGAGGCACTGCTGTTTAAATTCACAACTAGATCCAATTATGAACAAAGTGTTTATCTAACCAAAAGAAAATGTTTAAATCCATATTGACAAGTGAAAAGTGTTGAGTTAATCAAAACATCAATTTAACACCAAATCACAAATTTTCAGCCATGTTCTTACACACTACCTGTAAAGGTTGTCCGATTAAATATAAGCCTCAGTTGTCAGAGATATAGACTTACTTCACATGGGATGGGCATGTCCAAAGCTAAAAATATTTACTTTGTAAATGCCATTTTAGTATCACCAGTAACATGTTCTCCTATTCCCCATAAATCCCACTGTCTGCTTATTACAATTATTCTTAAGTACAATACCAGACATGTATCAGAAACATTGTGTCCAGGTAGTATTTTCCCTTGCAGAATACAGAATTACCGTATAATGGAAATTGTTGAATCCAAATAAAACAGCCTCAAAATATAGCATAGATTTTACTACTGGAGAATGCGGATATAAAAATCACAGAACCACCATCTTTTTCGGTTTAGCCTAATTCAGCATTTTTCAAAGTTCAGGTCATGACCCAGTACTGGGTCCCGGCATGTCAGACACTGGGTCGCTCTGGTCAGTGCCGCCAACCGGGACATTAAAAGTCCCATCAGTGGAGCTACCCAGCTAAGGCAGGCTAGTCCCTACCTGATACTGCACTGCGTCCCGGAAGTGGCCAGCAGTGGGTCCAGCTTCTAGGCAGGGGGCCACAGGGCTCCGCGTGCTGCCCCCACCCCAAGCACTGGCTCTGCATTCCCACTGGCCAGGAACCGGCCAATGGGGAACTGGGTGGGGGGGCAGTGCCTGAGAGCGAGAGTTGCGTGAAGACGCTTGCGCACCTCCGCATAGGAGCCTGACCTGCTGCTGGCCGCTTCTGGTGTGCAGCACGGTGCGGGGTGCCAGGGCAGGCGGGAAGGCTGCCTCTGCACTCTGGCTGCATTGCTAACTGGGAGCTGCCGGAGGTAAGTCCGTGCCCCAACCCCATGCCCCAATTCCCTGCCCTAGCCCCCCCGCCAAAAACCTGGAACCCCTTCCTGCATCCCAACCCCCTCATTCCTGGCCCCACCCCAGAGCCTGCACCTCCAGCCCAGAGCCCTGACTCCCTTCCACACCCTGAACCCCTCATTCCCAGCTCCATTGGGTCACGGACATCAACAATTTTCTTCAACTGGGTCCCCAGAAAAAAGTTTGAAAACCACTGGTCTAATTTACTCAGATTCCACTGAGTGAACCCAAAGGTCCTTCACCCATCTACTTGGCCCAAAGTAAATTTTTGCCCTTGTCACTAACTCCCACCTCTCACAACCTCTCTTCTTATGCTTATACAGTGAAGAGATTTTCAAATTAAAAAAAGAACGTGTCAAGGAGAATTAAGGAGGACCATTTTGCCAACTAGAAAAGGGTGCCCACTTTTTTCTTCCCTTCATCCAGTCACTAGGCACCCTCCTCTTCCCCTTTCAGAATGAAAATAAAGTAGGACACTTTTCAGAAAAGGAAGAGCTGGGAGCAAACAGTACTGAAACCCATCACTGCCTTGGTTTTTGTTTCAAACCCCACACCCTACCTTGCACCCTTCTCTCTTTCTCCAAGTCATAGATACCAAGATCAGAAGGGACCATGGGTGGTTATCTAGTCTGACCTCTGGTATAACAAAGGCCATAGAACTCCCTCTCAATTTCCCTTATAGATTCCCCCCTCCCCCGCTTTCTACACTCGTCCTCGGATTTTCCCTTCTTCAGTTTTTTGTGCTTGCATACTATTCATTTTCTGTTCCTCTTGTCCCACCACACCTCTTTCATTGATTTAAAATAAATGTCATTCTTACCAGAGTCACTGATAAATTCATAACCCTTCCAAGTTGATCAACATAGTAGACATTATCCTGGTACCAAGAATCAAGATGTAGGTAATTATACATGCCAAAGGCACGCATGTGGTCCAGGGTATACTGATCATCTCGAAGTTTCACTTCTGCTACAGCTGAAAAATAAAGCCAGAAAGACTATTTTAACAACTAGAAAATGCAGTTAATCATATTGCACTATTAGCCTTTTGACCTTGTAGTTGGGTGGCTTGCCTTCCAAATTTGTGCTGAAAGCTTAAGGATTTTACAGTTTTTTACATGCAGACTGGTTTAAGGAGACTGAGGATGGGAGGAATTATGTTTATGTGATCACCACTACCATTGATGCCTTCGCTCTCCCCCACACATGCTGAGGAAATCACCATGAAACTTCAGCAGATGAAGCACATAGGCACCAGATGAGAACATCAATTGTGAAAAACTCACTCCAAATCCATTCATCAAGAGCCTAAAGGTTTCTGACAGAAGTACACCACCATAGTAAGGAAAGAAAAAAAAAAAATTACTACTCTACCTCCATCACAGTTGCAAAACCACAGCCAGCAGGGTTATTCCGCCTGGCAATTTGGACTTCATAATCCAGCCACGAGGTCAAATCACCAGCCACTAAAAGGCAGAAAACTCTGAACCAGAGTTGACCACATTAGCCACCATGCCACTATTTGATGGTATATGGCCTCAACACACTCACTGAAGCCAAAGGAGTCTTGAGAACGTCCTTCTTGGCTAATAAATATCAAACTATTCACGGCTAATGGAAGTTACCAACACCTCTTTCAGGGAAGCAAATGTACCACTCGCCTTGAAAAATACAATCATCCATCCAATCCTAAAAAAAAGCCACAACAACTCAATCCTTAAGACCTCTCAGCATTTTTTCCCCCTGGGTAGTTCAGCACGTTCACGTCTCTGAATGAGATGTTTTAATCTGTCCACTCCTACAAAAATCATTGATAAAGTAGCAACAAACAAGCACACATCACCACATGACATCGGGTTTCGGACTACAGCACAGTCTATACCTAAAAGTTAGAGGAAAAATCCAGTCATTCTTACATAAAACCTTTATAAAATGACTGTGTAAGCATGCCTTTTCATAGTTGTTGATACTTGCAACTTAACAGCAACCCCATGGCAGCCCAAATCATGTGGCTTTGCAGAATTGTACAATGTATCAAAAATGAAGAGGGGAAAAAAACGTACCAGCGATGATTGAATCAGTAAGCCTCTTTCTTATTTTTAGTTCATTTTAACTGAATATTTTACAATAGTTAGCACTTAAAGACAGCTATTGCCAAAATGGCACTTTAGAAGTGTTTGTGAAATGAAGCTTTATCAAAGAGATGTTATCATGACCTAATGAGTTTTAAAAAATTGGATATGTTTAGTGAGGAAAAAAGACTGATCATCTTTAAGTACGTTAAGGTTGGTTATAAAGGGGGAGGGATAGCTCAGTGGTTTGAGCATTGGCCTGCTAAACCCAGGGATGTGAGTTCAATCCTTGAGGGGGCCACTTAGGGATCGGGGGCAAAATCAGTACTTGGTCCTGCTAGTGAAGGCAGGGGGCTGGACTCGATGAATTTTCGGGGCCCCTTCTAGTTCTATGAAATAGGTATATCTCCAAAGAGGACAGTGATCAATAGTTCTCTATGTGCACTAAAGATGGGACAAGAGAACCTGCAGCAAGGGAGATGTAGTTTAGGAAAAACTTTCTAACTATAATGGTAGTTAAGCACTGGAATAAGCTTCCAAGGGAGGTTGTGGAATCCAAGTCATTAGAGGTTTTCAAGAATAGGTTAGACCAGTGGTCTCCAAAGTGGGGTGTGTGCACAAGGGGGTGCGCAGCAGGAGGAGCTTTTTTTTTTTGCTTTGTCAGTTCAGGCAGGAGTCCAAGCGGTTTTTTTTTTTGCGCTTCCGCAGGGGGTGCATGATCAAAAATTTTTTACTGGTAGGGGTGCACGATCAAAAAATTTTGGAGACCACTGTGTTAGACAAACACCTGCCAGAGATGGTCTTGGTATACTTGGTCCTACCTGAGTGCAGGGGGAGGGACTGCATGACCTCTCAAGGATCCTTCCAGCCCTATATAATCCCCAAAATGAGAAGACCAGAGAACAGGATGAATATATTGTAATTAATTAAAAACTAATAGGAAAGATAGTCCAAGACAATTCTTTCAGTGGAACCTAGTTGATAACATCTGCTCCATGTACTGATATATTAACAAAACTAATCTTTTTTGGCTTAGTAGGATTCACACACTGAAGCATTTAAAGGATTTTCACCTAGAAAGCAATAGGTATTGTCTCACTTGGTAACAAGCTTTTCAAACACAACAATGGGAGCTGTGGAGCCAGTGCTCAGGGTGGGGCAGCACGCAAATCACACAAAGCCGCCTAGCCCTGCCTCTGCCTAGGAGCAGCAGGGACATGTTGCCGCTTCAAGGGAGCCACACGGAGCCAGGTAGGGAGCCTACCGGCCCCACACCAACCGGACTATAAACCAGACTTTTAATGAAGATCAGAAATGCCGGTTTATAGAGCTTTCCGGTTGGTAAAGTACTGAATAATAATACAAAAGAAATTTCATCCTTGAAAACAGTGTATTATTCTCTTGATAAAAGATTAGTGTTTCCACAACACTTTAAATTCCAGAAACATAAATCAATTTATAAAGAACAGTTTAGGTATTAAAATGAAACAAAATAACCATGCCAGAAAAGATCCAGCTATTTAAATGGTCAAGTTTTACATTCTTGGGAAATACTGTTTACAAAGAACTTTAGAATGGGCACTAATGGAAGTGGCAAGGGAAGTTTGAAGAGTAGGTGTGAATTGAATGGGGAGGTAGATCTTAACAGTGATTCATTTTAATTCGTATTAATGGACTAACTGGTTAGTAGTAAACCATTTCTGTGTCCCTTTTATTGCACATTCACTCAGCTACGAAAGAAATATATGAAATTAAACAATATTTCAGTCCTATTGTGTAAGTTTACCGGGGAATGGATTATAAATCACAATTTACAATAAAAATGTCCTAATCAACTTCTATAACATAGCAGCCTATCAAATTAGCATAAACAAACTTTCTCCCCCACAAATTACACTTATTTTCCATAGAGTAAATATCAATACCATTTTTGTAAGTACAATTGAACAATAAAGCAAAATAGAACGTAAAGTTTTTCTCTTCAGACTTACTGCCAGAACACAAAGGACTACTAGGAAAGCTGCAGTAACCCATAGAGACATAATTGTTAATTCACTTCAGTGCATTGCTTAAAGTGTGGTAATTCATGTGCTGCTTGTGCACAGTTTCCCAGCACTTAAAACTTATTCTAAATCAAGTTTAATCAAACTTATCAAATGCACTTATCCTGCTGAGGACCCATTGCAAGTATGAAGTTTCATATTAAATATGAGGAAAAGTCCATCCTTTGTAATAGAATCATGGAATATCAGGGTTGGAAGGGATGTCAGGAGGTCATCTAGTCCAACTCCTTCTCAAAGTAGGACCAATCCCCAACTAATTCATCGCAGCCAGGGCTTTGTCAAGCCTGACCTTAAAAACCTCTAAGGAAGGAGATTCCACCACATCCCTAGGTAACCCTACAAGCATCATGTGGTTGGCTGCTTCACTCATACACAGAGCCCCAATTTTATTTCTGTGGGATGGGCAGGATGGAAGAAAGGCACATTGGATTAGTAATCATGCAACATGTTAGCACCTAGATAGGGGAATATGAATATGAATAACAAGATAAATACCATTCACATTTTGCTTCTGTTAGTCTATCTTGAAAAGGGAGTCTCTGCATAGGACTGCTCCTTGGGGGAGGGGACCATATTTTTTTAAACACAGTGAGGGCCTGATCCTTATTGGACCCTTTGGGCACTACTGTGATACAAATATCAAGCTACTACTTATACGGCTGGATCTCTCTATGGCATTTGATCATGTTGGCCATCAATACTCCTGTTGTGTCTCAGAGACAAAGCAGGGATGAACAGAATAGTCAGATGGTTCCATTTCTTCCTTTCAGACTGAATCCACAGGGTTGAGGACCGCCATTCTTCCACATCTAGAACCTTCACCTGTGGAGTCCTACAAGGCTCAATCCTCTCCTTCTACTCTATTCAACACCTACATGAAGCTGAAGGGGAAGATTTTGAAAGAGCATAAGCAGCAATGCCAGCAGTACATAGACAACACCCAGCTCTACATTTTGCTAGCATCAAATGCTAACAGCATTAATTCCTACGATCTTGATTCTAAAGAGCCATCAGCACTCAGATGAGGCTTAGAAGGATTAGATTTTTATCTGTAAATATCAGTAAATGTCAAGTTTACCACGCACAAACCAACAAAAAAAATATTTCCATTGATAATTAAAATTTAGAGCTATGCAAATGGAAGAAAAATGATTCTTGACAACAGACTGAAGGATATTTACTTTGTATATTTTCACATGATGTTGACAATTTCTGCTTTAATTTTTTGAAACTCAGCATTTACTGTCAGTAAATTGTCTGACCTCCCCTCCCACCCCAACATCCCACATCTGTGAAAATTTAAACAGAAAAATTGAAACAAATGCTTAAAACCCATAATATTGCACAACTGAAAAATTAAAATAAATAAAAACAGAAAAACGCTTAAACAGATATCCACCAAAACTATACGAAAAAATTAATTCTGCCAATCCTATCAATAGTTGACTAAAACTAAAATGCTGCAAGATGGAGGAAAAAGAAGAATTGCAAAGAATTCCCCATATCTATATTACCCTCCATCATCATAGTAATTTGTCATTCAGTCATCATGGGTCTTTTTGGACTCCTTGCTACTTTTACATACTAATAGTCAAATTAGACAAATAGTCACAGCTGCTAAAAACTCTAAGACACAACTGGCCAGAAGTCTGTGCTTCATACTACAAGATTTTGATTTGGCCACAGCAGTTCACACATTCACAATTTGATTACTGCAATGCATCATGCCTAGGAATGAAGCCACCAATTCTGATAAAGGTCCATTTGGCTCTAAATTCAGCAATCTGCCTGTTCATCAACAGTGTGCGCTATGAACATCCTGCTCTCTGCACTGGTTCCCT